TGAGAGTAAAAGTGAAAGAGAGCAATGTTGGTAAGAATGAAATTTGCTACAACTTTTGTTTTAAAAGTTTCTTTATAAAATGTTCCAATTCCCCAGTGCTACCATTACGTACTAGTGAAACAAAGAATTTTTCAAATTTTCGTATTTTTATCGATTTTGACGCATCTGAGAGCAAAAGTGAAAGAGAGCAATGTTGGTAAGAATGAAATTTGCTACAACTTTTGTTTTAAAAGTTTTTTTATAAAATGTTCCGATTCCCCAGTGCTACCATTATCTACTAGTAAAATACCGAATTCTTCAAATTTTCGTATTTTTATCTATTTTGATGCATCTGAGAGGAAAAGTAAAAGAGAGCAATATTGGTAAGAATGAAATTTGCTACAACTTTTGTTTTAAAAGTTTTTTATAAAATGCTTTGTTTCCCGAGTGCTACCATTATCTACTAGTAAGATTCCGATTTTTTTAAATTTTTATATTTTAGTATTTTTCTCGATATTGACGCATCTGAGAGCAAAAGTGAGAGAGAACTATATTGGTAAGAATGAAATTTGCTACATCTTTTGTTTAAAAGTTTTTTTATAAAATGCTTTGTTTCCCGAGTGCTACCTATAATTTCAAGTAAAACAACGAATTCTTCAAATTTTCGTATTTTTATCGATTTTGATGCATCTGAGAGGAAAAGTAAAAGAGAGCAATATTGGTAAGAATGAAATTTGCTAAACCTTTTGTTTTAAATGTTTTTTTATAAAATGCTCCGATTCCTCAGTGCTACCATTATTTGCTAGTAACACAACAAATTTTAAAAAATTTCATATTTTCCTATTTTTATCGATTTTAACGCATCTGAGAGCAAAAATATAAGAGAGTAATATTGGTAAGAATGGAATTTGCTACAACTTTTGTTTTAAAAGTTTTTCTATAAAATTCTCCGATTCCCGAATGCTACCTATATTTGCTAGTAAAACAACGAATTCTTCAAATTTTCGTATTTTTCTCGATATTGACGCATCTGAGAGTAAAAATGAAAGAGAGCAATATTGTTAATAACAAAATTTGCTACAACTTTAGTTTTAAAAGTTTTACCATAAAATGCTCCGATTCCCTAGTGCTACCATTATCTGCTTCTAAAACAACAAATTCTTAAAATTTTCATATTTTCGCATTTTTCTCGTACGCCCCATATTTTATTAGCTCACCAGAAAGGGAGTTTGCCATTTATTACTTATTTACTATCTTTGATTTACCAAAAATAACAAAAAGAAACAATGAAAACAAAAATTAGGTTTGGATAAAAAATTTAATTCTCTCTCTGATAGGTTAAAAAAGTATGGGGCGTTCCATTTAAAATTCTCAGCTTTCTTGGCATTGAATATGGAGAAACGATAATTCAATTTTTGACCATCCTGTATAAAATACTCTGATACAACAAATGACAATCTATTTGATATCATTTGAAGAGTAATCATACCAAGTAAGATAAATTTCATATTTTCGAATTTTTATCGATTTTGATGCATCTGAGAGCAAAAATAAAAGAGAGCAATATTGGTAAGAATAAAATTTGCTATAACTTTTTTTTTTATAAAACGCTCCAATTCCCCAGTGCTACCACTATCTGGTAGTAACACAACAAATTCTTAAAAATTTCATATTTTCCTATTTTTATCGATATTGACGCATCTGAGAGCAAAAGTGAAAGAGAGCAATATTGGTAAGAATGCAATTTGCAACAACTTTTGTTTTAAAAGTTTTTTTATAAAATGCTCCGATTCTTCAGTGCCACCTACCATTATCTGCTAGTAATAACAAATTCTTAAAAATCTCATATTTTCGTATTTTCATCGATTTTGACGCATTTGAGAACAAAAGTAAAAGAGAGCAATATTGGTAAGAATAAAATATACTCTGTTTTTAAACCAGGAGGAGTATTTTAAATTTGTCACCAGGTTGACCTTGCACGTGATTGGTTGAATGCGAGGAAGGTTCACACACAGGCAATTTTGAATTTTCATTTTGAATTTGAAGGTTAGGTTATTGATAATTCGACAGTTTCGTGTCATTGTTGTAAATTTTGTTTGAACCCTTTTGCGTCTTCAATTTAATTGAGTGAAATCTGTTCTTTTTAGAACAAGGTATGGATCGTGACCCTAATAGTCGTTCACAACAAATTTTACAATAATAAGTAAATACATAAATAATAATTATTAAATTAAATTTACCGCCAAAATATCTAGTGATATTTTCTGGTGATTTTTCCTAGTGTAAATCTGACTTTCGCGTTTACCCCTCTTGGTTTAAAAACGGAGTATAGTAAGACAACAAATTCTTAAAAATTTCATATTTTCCTATTTTTATCGATATTGACGCATCTGAGAGCAAAAGTAAAAGAGAGCAATATTGGAAAGAATGAAATTTGCTACAACTTTTGTTTTAAAAGTTTTTTTATAAAACGCTCCGATTCCCCAGTGTTACCATTATCTACTAGTAAAACACCGAATTCTTAAAATTTTCATATTTTCGTATCTTTCTCGATATTGGCGCATCTGAGAGCAAAAATAAAAGAGAGCAATATTGGTAAGAATGAAATCTGCTACAACTTTTGTTTTAAAAGTTTTTTTATAAAATACCCCGATTCCCCAGTGCTACCATTATTTACTAGTAACACAACAAATTCTTAAAAATTTCATATTTTCGCATTTTTCTTGAAATTGACGCATCTGATAACAAAAATAAAAGAGAGCAATCTTGGTAAGAACAAAATTTGCTACAACTTTTGTTTTAAAAGTTTTTTTATAAAACGCTCCGATTCCCCAGTGCTATCACTATCTGGTAGTACCACAACAAATTCTTAAACATTTCATATTTTCGCATTTTTCTTGAAATTGACGCATCTGATAACAAAAATAAAAGAGAGCAATCTTGGTAAGAACAAAATTTGCTACAACTTTTGTTTTAAAAGTTTTTTTATAAAACGCTCCGATTCCCCAGTGCTATCACTATCTGGTAGTACCACAACAAATTCTTAAACATTTCATATTTTCGCATTTTTCTTGAAATTGACGCATCTGATAACAAAAATAAAAGAGAGCAATCTTGGTAAGAACAAAATTTGCTACAACTTTTGTTTTAAAAGTTTTTTTATAAAACGCTCCGATTCCCCAGTGCTATCACTATCTGGTAGTACCACAACAAATTCTTAAACATTTCATATTTTCGCATTTTTCTTGAAATTGACGCATCTGATAACAAAAATAAAAGAGAGCAATCTTGGTAAGAACAAAATTTGCTACAACTTTTGTTTTAAAAGTTTTTTTATAAAACGCTCCGATTCCCCAGTGCTATCACTATCTGGTAGTACCACAACAAATTCTTAAACATTTCATATTTTCGCATTTTTCTTGAAATTGACGCATCTGATAACAAAAATAAAAGAGAGCAATCTTGGTAAGAACAAAATTTGCTACAACTTTTGTTTTAAAAGTTTTTTTATAAAACGCTCCGATTCCCCAGTGCTATCACTATCTGGTAGTACCACAACAAATTCTTAAACATTTCATATTTTCGCATTTTTCTTGAAATTGACGCATCTGATAACAAAAATAAAAGAGAGCAATCTTGGTAAGAACAAAATTTGCTACAACTTTTGTTTTAAAAGTTTTTTTATAAAACGCTCCGATTCCCCAGTGCTATCACTATCTGGTAGTACCACAACAAATTCTTAAACATTTCATATTTTCGCATTTTTCNTTTATCAAAATTGACGCATCTGAGAGCAAAAGTAAAAGAGAGCAATATTGGTAAGAACGAAATTTGCTACAACTTTTGTTTTAAAAGTTTTTTTATAAAATGCTCCGATTCTCCAGTGCTACCATTACTTGTTAGTAAAATAACGATTCTTCAAATTTTCGTATTTTTCTCGATTTTGACGCATCTGAGAGCAAAAATAAAAGAGAGCAATATTGGTAAGAATGAAATTTGCTACAACTTTTGTTTTAAAAGTTTTTTTATAAAATTCTCCAATTCCCGAATGCCACCTATATTTGTTAGTAAAACAACGAATTCTTCAAATTTTCGTATTTTTCTCGATATTGACGCATCTGAAAGCAAAAGTGAAAGAGAGCAATATTGGTAAGAACAAAATTTGCTACAACTTTTATTTTAAAATTTTTTTTATAAAATACTCCGATTACTCAGTGCTACCTATATTCTAATAAAACAACGAATTCTTCAAATTTTCGTATTTTTATCGATATTGACGCATCTGATAACAAAAATAAAAGAGAGCAATATTGGTAAGAACAAAATTTGCTACAACTTTTGTTTTAAAAGTTTTTTTATAAAATGTTCCGATTCCCCAGTGCTACCACTATCTGGTAGTAACTCAACAAATTCTTAAAAATTTCATATTTTCGCATTTTTCTTGAAATTGACGCATCTGAGAGCAAAAATAAAAGAGAGCAATATTGGTAAGAACGAAATTTGCTACAACTTTTGTTTTAAAAGTTTTTTTATAAAATACCCCGATTCCCCAGTGCATTATTTACTAGTAACACAAAAAATTTTTTAAATTTTCATATTTTCGCATTTTTCTTAAAATTGACGCATCTGAGAGCAAAAATAAAAGAGAGCAATCTTGGTAAGAACAAAATTTGCTACAACTTTTATTTTAAAGCTTTTTTTATAAAACGCTCCGATTCCCCAGTGTTACCTATATTCTAGTAATTCTAGTTCAAATTTTCGTATTTTTTTATAATTAATTTTTATAATCCAACCCAATATGTTTATATACATTTTCAAGCTAAATTTAGATGAATGTATTAATTAACGAAACATTTTTTTACATTTAGTGTTTCAAAAGTTCTGCTCAAACTGCAAAAATAGCAAACCAAAAAAGATTTTGTACAAAACAATCCCCGCCTTGGATTGGTTAATCCATTACAAATGGAAAGAGAATTTATCGGCCGATTTAATCGCTGGATTCACGGTCGCAATTATGCACATTCCTCAAGGTAAATTAATTATTTAAGTATGTCGATAGTCTAATTTACATTAATTTGATTCGATTTTATTTCAACAAGGAATGGCTTATGGTTTATTGGGCAACGTTGACCCTGTAATTGGAATTTATATGGCTTTTTTCCCCGTTTTAATGTACGTTTTGTTGGGTACGTCCAGACACAATTCTTTGGGGACTTTCGCCGTGGTTTGTTTGATGACTGGAAAGGTCGTTTTGGAACATAGCAACTCAACAAATTGTTTAACAAAGAATTCCACGGAAATTTTTAATTTAACGACACCAAATAATTGTTATTCGCCTATCCAAGTGGCTACTGCGGTTACTTTTATGACTGCCATTTTCCAATTGATGATGTACGCTTTACGATTGGGAGTTATAAGCAATTTAATTTCTGAAACGATGGTTAGTGGATTCACAACGGGGGCTGCTGTTCATGTTTTAACGAGCCAAGTTAAAGATCTTTTTGGATACGTTATTCCGAAACACAAAGGACTTTTCACCGTTGTTAATGTAAGTTTTTAATCTTTATAAATTAATTAATATCTCAAAAACTAAAAGATATTTCCAAAAACAGTTTGATTCATTGAAAAGGTGACACTTAACTCTATGATTTTCGAAAATTGCGTCGCGATATTTTAAATACCCGATTTTTGGCGATTTTTTTAAAATTTAATTGTCTAATTTTCTTGTGAAAAATCGGCTCAATTTGAAAAATGCTTTATCTCAGGAACTAAACGATGTTTTCAAAAACGGTCTTTTTTGCTAAAAAGGTTATGATTTTGGGTAAAAGTGGTGATAATTTCGTTTTGATTCGTTAAAAATTGGATTTTATACGATTTTTTGATTAACCCTAACTCATTTTTCCCCTAAAAATTGAAAAATGATTAAAAATTTTTATCTCAAAAACTAAAAGATATTTTCAAAATCGCTTCACTTGACTCTATAATTTTTGAAAATTGCGTTGCGATTGGTCTAAAAGTTTTTCTGTAAAGTTCTCCGATTCTCGAGTGTTACCATCCACTTTTCATATTTTTGTATTTTTCTTAATATTAACGCATCTGAGAGAAAAAGTGGAAGAGAGCAATATTGGTAAGAATAAAATTTGCTACAACTTTTGTTCTAAAAGTTTTTTTGTATCATGCTCCTATTCCCAAGTGCTACCTATTAACTTGTAGGAAAACAACGAATTCTTCAAATTTTCATATTTTCGCATTTTTCTCAATATTGACGCAACTGAGAGCAAATATACAAGAGAGCAATATTGGTAAGAATAAAATTTGCTACAACTTTTGTTCTAAAAGTTTTTTTATATCATACTCCGATTCCCAGGTGCTACCTATTAACTTGTAGGAAAACAACGAATTCTTCAAATTTTCATATTTTCGCATTTTTCTCAATATTGACGCATCTGAGAGCAAAAATACAACAGAGCAATATTGGTAAGAATAAAATTTCCTACAACTTTTGTTCTAAAAGTTTTTTTGTAATATGCTCCGATTCAAAAATTTTACCATTACCTACATAAAACAACCAAATTCATCAAATTTTCATATTTTCCTATTTTTCTCGATATCTATTCATCTAAGAGCAAAAGTGTAAGAGAGCAATATTGTTAATAACAAAATTTGTAACAACTTTTATTTTAAAAGTTTTTTTATATGCTCCGATTCAAAAATTTTACCATTACCTATTTAAAACAATAAAATTCATCAAATTTTCAAATTTTCCTATTTTTCTCGATATCTATTCATCTGACAGCAAAAATGCAAGAAAGCAATATTATTAAGAATAAAATTTCTTACAACTATTGTTCTAAAAGTTTTTTTATGATATGCTCCGATTTAAAAATTTTACCATCACCTATTTAAAACAACGGAATTCATCAAAATTTCAAATTTTCGTATTTTTCTCGATATTTATTCATCTGAGAGGAAAAGTGTAAGAGAGCAATATTTTTAATAACAAAATTTGCAACAACTTTTGTTCTAAAAGTTTTTTTATAATATACACCGATTCAAAAATTTTACCATTACCTACTTAAAACAACGATATTCATTAAATTTTCATATTTTCCTATTTCTCTCGTTATCTATGCATCTGACAACAAAAATGCAAGAAAGCAATATTGGTAAGCATAAAATTTGCTACAACTTTTGTTCTAAAAGTTTTTTCATAACATGCTAGGATTCCCAAGTGCTACCTATTAACTTGTAGGAAAACAAGGAATTCTTAAAATTTTCATATTTTCGCATTTTTCTCAATATTGACGCATCTGAGAACAAAAATACAACAGAGCAATATTGGTAAGAATAAAATTTGCTACAACTTTTGTTCTAAAACTTTTTTTATAACATGCTGCAATTCCCAAGTGCTACCTATTAACTTGTTGGAAAACAACGAATTCTTCAAATTTTCATATTTTTTTATTTTTCTCAATATTGACGCATCTGAGAGCAAAAGTGAAAGAGAGCAATATTGGTAAGAATAAAATTTGCTACAACTTTTATTCTAAAAGTTTTTTTGTATCATGCTCCGATTTTCGAGTGCTACCTAGGGATATGCCATGGACAATTGACCGTCAGCATTTGACCATCGTCTATTACTTGGTCAAATATAATAATGCCATCTATATTCAAGTAGCGATAGTAAAGTATTTTGTAAGTTTAAGTTATGAACTGCAGTGAACTGATTTTACCATATTTAGCTAATTAGATTCATGGAATTCCGTGAATCATTTTTGACACGTAATTTCCTATAGTAAACTTTTTTTCAAAGTCTGGAAACAGAAGTAAACCCTGAACTTGAGAAATTTTGCAATTTTCGTCGATTAAGTTTTAAAAATTCGTATAAAATCGATTTCTTGGGATATGAGTATGAAAATTGCTTTCCCTACGGATTTTCATATTTTCGTATTTTTCTCGATATCTATGCATCTGAGAGCAAAAGTGAAAGAGAGTAATATTGTTAAGAATAAAATTTGCTATAACTTTTGTTTTAAAAGTTTTTTTATAATATGCACCGATTCCCAAATGTTACCATTAGCTAATCGTAAAACAAGAAAATTCATCAAATTTTCATATTTTTGTATTTTGCTCAATATAGACGCATCTAAGAGCAAATATACAAGAGAGCAATATTGTTAATAACAAAATTTGCAACAACTTTTGTTTTTAAAGTTTTTTGACAAGATGCTCTGATTCCCGAATGCTACCATTAGCTAATAGTAAAACAAGGAAATTCATCAAATTTTCGTATTTTTCTCAATATTGACGAATCTGAGAGCAAATATACAAGAGAGTGATATTGTTAAGAATAAAATTTGCTACAACTTTTGTTATAAAATTTTTTTTATAAAATGCTCCGTTTCCCCAGTGCTACCATTATCTGCTAATAAAACAACGAATTCTTAAAATTTTCATATTTTCTTATTTTTATCGATATTGACGCATCTGAGAGCAAAAGTGAAAGAGAGCAATATTGTTAAGAATAAAATTTGCTACAACTTTTGTTACAAAAGTTTTTTTGAAATATAATCAGATTCCCTAGTGTTATCATCAGAGCTCAGACAGTTTAGGAAAGTGATCCTAAAACGCCTCCCACTCCTGTCTCAATATTCAATGAATTAAATCGAAGCGTAGGCTTATCAAGGCATTCGTTTAGTGTGGAGGGGCGCACGTTTCCTAAACTGTCCGGGCTCTGGTTATCATCAATGACTTCAAAGCAGAGCTGGGACGGATACAGGAAAAAAGTATTCGAGTACCCGATACCGGATGCTTACAATGTATCCGGATGCTGTTTTAAAAAAGTACGGATACTTTCTCCGTAAAAGTATCCGGATACATGTATCCGGCAGTTTCCGGATACATTCTCGGATACTTTTAAAATGACCTAAATTATTGTTAAATTAATATATTGTCATCCATATTTTACTTCTAGTGACTCCTAATTTTTTCTCCTATATTTTTAAAAAAGGAAATTCATAAAATTTTTAAATTTTCGTATTTTTCTCAATTTTGACGAATCTGAGAGCAAATGTACAGGGTCCAAATTTCGATGGGTTTGCAGTTTATCTCAGTTATTATGAAAGATAGAAAGTTGCGGCTTTCACGAACCTGAGCTACTTTTTTGTGAAAGTTACAATGGCGCAAACCAAATTGTCATAGCCCTCTTGGTTTTTGATATACAGGTAGTCTTTGAAATTTACGATTTTCAGACACCTCATGTATCTCGGCTATCCAGAAACTTAGTAAAAAAGTAAAAACGGGTTCTAATAGATTTTTTCACGTGGAATCCAATGGTGCACGTAGAATTTTTCTAGTCATCACGGTTTTTGAGTTATAAACACAACTCAAATACTGAATACTCAACTTCTAAAATAC